GCCACTAGGGGGCGCCAGTGGGCGGGCGGCGGGCGGGAAGATGGGGGGGCTGAGGGGAGGGAGGGAGATGGGGGGGCTGAGGGGCCCTGTGAGCACCGCGGTCACCCCCACAACAATCTCCTGGGTACCCCCGAGTGGGAGGGACGCGCCCGTGGGCTGACGGGGTGACCAGGACAGCTCGCCCTCCTGTGAGCCGCATCCCCCCACACATCCAGGAAACTGCCAGAACTTCAGGCGGTTCTCCCACCAGCAGCATTTATTTCTTGCCTTACAACCACTCCCCACAAAGCCAAGAGGTCCGTGGGTTGGTTTCATTGCCAGACCTCAGAGTTCCAGTAATTCACCTGTTTAAACAAAATATTTTATAAAATACCTGGTGAATATTAATTTATTCAAAAGGATAAACCGAGCTTCTCTAGCCCACCCCCGTACTGACTACTCCCAACGCCCATCCGGAGCCTCTCCCTTTAGGCACACACAGCACTGACTGTACCCCATCATCTTAAAGGTCTTTTCCAGCCTAAAAGATTCTATGATTCTATTTATAACCTTCATCACGACTCCTCAGTGCATGTGATGTGGCACGGTGCATCCACATCCTCAGACATCACCAGCTCCTGTCACTGCACTAATAGCACATCGCAACACCCAGCTTACAATTCCCAGGCACAATTTGGGGGGAACGAGGTCAAAATTGCTAAGGCACATTCAGTTGCTTTCGAACTGGATATGTTTCTTTTTCCACCTCAGAAGCTGAAGTAGGATTTCTAAAGAAAAGTGAAGATCAAAGACAAAGCAACCTCCCACTGCATCTCAGAAGATGAAACAAAAATGTGTAAAATTACTAAACCTGAAAACAGAAGCAACAGAGCAGATTTAAGGAAACGGAAGAAAACATTTGTTGCTCAGGTACCTGCTGAAGAAGGGATAAGGGCAAACCGGATCTCACTAACCATCCCGTCAATGCGGCTCTTTGCCCTGATACATCTGATCAGCATGAAATACATCCAGGAAAACACTAAAGTAACTCTCAGCAGTTACAGATAGAATTCAGGCTCTGGGGCAAAAAATAGATATTCATGTAAAGGGAGAAATTTCATATACAAAAATACTGAAACAGCTTCACATCTTCAAAACTAACAATAGCTCCAGGTTTTTTGAGGGCTCCTATCAAAATAAGTTACGTTAAAAATACATACAAAACCAGCAAAGAAATCCCTCCCAACTTTTTCAGTATAGAACAAGCTAGCATCTACTTTACTATTTGTTAATCACTAGACCTAAGAGTACATTGCAACAGTGGGACTGATGAGAAAACAGTGTTACATGTCCATATCTCAAAAAAAATCACTGTAACTAGAGGTTATAAAAACAAACAAACAAACCCCCAACAAACAAGAAATCGCTATGGCGCAAATTCTAGTCCTGTGGCTCATGAACTATGAAAACTCCCATGGAAAAACTGGTAACTTGAAAACAAGAACAAACAAAATTTTCATCAATGAGCACAAAAGGAATTATCGTAGTAAGGTTTGGGGTTGGGTTATTTTATGTTTTGTTTGACTGTTTTCTTATAGTCAGCATTAAAGAACACAGTAGTTAACGGAAAAAGAGTCAGTCAGATGCCTTTTGAATGCACAAAAAAAGGTAGTAAGTTAAAACTTTATCAGGTAATAAAGTTTTTCAAGGTTTGTCAGTAGGGAATAGTGGATTTGCAACGAACCACCCCTTGTTTTTCCCTTGTTGCTGACAAAAGTAGCACCTCTCTACTAACACTTTGTTTCATGTATCACGGAACACAAACAGGCAATATCTGAGATAACTTTGCCTCTTGTCCCACACCACTGTCCAAGGAATTACTTCTCTTGGGCACTACAGTTTGCTAACTTAGCAGTCACCAGCACATATGGGGTTAACTTTGCTGTACAACATAGAGTAGCATCGCTCTCTGAACTCACACTGCCACATAGATGCTTCAATAGTAAGATCTACTCAAATAAAAGCTTAAAATCTATCCTCAAACGACAGCCTTCAAAGGTTATCTAGGTGATCATAGTAGTGATTTAGCAAATTCAATGCCGTTTAGATGAGTAGCTAAGACAGACAGACAGAATATTCCACTCTGAGGTTATAAAATGGTTCACTTTGATAGTTCCAAATAACATTTTCCAGAAAAAACTATGTGATCAGCTGGCAGAAAACACCAACCAACCAGCAAATTACCCATTTTAGAAGTTAAGGAGAGTGACCATTTATTGCTAGTAACCTGCCTGGCAAGTGCTCCATGCCCACAAGGGTACACAGCATTATCTCAGCCTTTCACCCAGCTCTGGAAAGTGTCAGTGATTTATGAGCAAGATCATGAACCCACAAACTTTTTTATTAAAAAAAAACCCAAACAAAAAACAAAGTATTGCAAGGACTGCAAATGAGAAAATGATGACATGCATCAATTTAAAAGTTCAGGATCATTTGCTGCAGGAATTACACCTGCACAAATTTGGTTTAATGGATGAGTATAAGGCAGACGGTATTTTAATCACAGACAGACAGAAGGAAAAAGCCCAGAATTACAGACTGCTGACAAATCCGAACTGCAGTGTTTCTGTGATAGGCACTACATTGGGTCTGCATGGCAAGGGTTTGGTAGCGAGGGAGCTACAGGGGTGGCTCTGTGAGATGGACCTGCTGCTGGCCAAGGCCAAGCCCATCAGCAATGGTGGTAACACCTCTGTGACAACATATTTAAGAAGGGGAAAAAATAACTTTGGGAAATCAATTGCAGGTGAAGATAGGAGTGAGAATATGCAAGAGAAACAGCTCTGCAGACACCAGGGTCAGTGCAGAAGGAGGGGCAGGAGGTGCTCCAGGCGTTGGAGCAGAGGTCCCGCGGTGCAGCCCATGGCGAGGCAGCCGTGCCCTGCGCCCAGGGAGGGTCATGGAGGAGCAGATTCCACCTGCAGCCCGGGGAGGAGCCCAGGCCAGAGCAGGGGGGTGCCCGAAGGAGGCTGTGACCCCTGGGAAGCCCACGCTGGAGCAGGTTTACTGGCAGGACTGTGACCCCGGGGGGACCCACGCTGGAGCAGTTCGGGAAGAGCTGCAGCTCGTGGGAAGGACTCACGTTGGAGAAGTTCACGCAGGACTGTCTCCTGTGGGAGGGACCCTGGGGCAGGGGAAGAGTGTGAGGAGTCCTCCCCTGAGGAGGAAGGAGCAGCAGAGACCACGGGTGATGAACTGACCACGATCTCCATCCCCTTCCCCCTGCACCGCCGGGAAGGGACAGAGTAGAGAAATTAGGAGCAAAGCTGAGCTCAGGAAGAAGGGAGGGGTGGGGGGGAACGTGTTTTAAGTTTTTATTTCTCATTATCCTACTCTGTTTTGATTGGCAATAAATTAATTTTCCCCGAGTAGAATCTGTTTTGCCCATGACAGTAATTGCTGAGTGATCTCCCTGAGCTCATCCCCACCCACAGGCCTTTCGTTGTATTCTCTCTCCCCTGTCCAGCTGAGGAGGGGGTGAAAGAGCAGCTTTGGTGGGCACCTGGCGTCCAGCCAGGGTCAACCCACCACAGCTACCCATAAAGTCAGCAGATCAACACAGATGACAACTGAGGGGGTTTTGTGCCTTGAAACCCATGAAATTGTGATTGTTTTTTTTAACTGAGTACACAGTGTAAGTTTAAATTAAGTTAGCAGAAATGGCAGATAACTTCTGAGTGAAGAAATCTGCAGAAATTTCTACTTCCGCAACTCTTTCAACGAATACACTATAAACCAGGAGTAGCAAGATAGTTGTGTAAAAATCCCAATGCACATCCTGCTACAAAACAAGAACCCTGCAAATACTGACCCTTGAAATGAAGCCATTGTAAGATTCCTCCCTTTTGAGTAATTTTACTGCCATCAACAATGAAATCAATCTGATATGCCATACTAAACTGTCAACTATTGCCATGGTGAACAATTAATTTCCAAATAACTCAACAGGCCCTACAAATTCCCAGGAGCACACTAACAGGAGACATGGGTCCCAGCATCAGCCAGGCACTGACAGCTCTTCTGAGGATGGAGATCCTTGGTCTACTGCCACACCACTTACAGATGCACATCTTGGTTCCCCATGGAGAGTCTGCACATAAAATATTCAACAGTTCTCCTGGTCTGCCTGTTGTGTGCCCTGTGATGCCACTTTTCTGTATCTTCAGAATCTTTATGTGAGAAATTTTAGTGCAATATCAGGAATAATTCACGATTCCTAGTCAGGCCAGACCCACCATGCAGCATCTCACAGTAAAGCGCATGGGCGTCAGATAAAAGGGGAACATGGAACCAAGAATAACCTATGTGAACTGAATCCTAATGTCAGCTTGTTTCACTACTCCTTCATTATTCCAGCATGAATAAAGAACAAAGGATGCAAAGATAAATTCCATTGTTTTATCCATGAATAAACCTCCAGGTGGTTGTGCTTATGTTAATGTCTGATGCTGAACTGTAGCTCTTCTGTTTCCCTGCAAAGAATTAAGGACAGAAGTTTTTTCATATGTGCTCACACTGGCCTTTGTTTCTCAGCGGGAATC